CCCCTGAGATCGCAGACGACCATTTAATCTACACACCAGAGCACTTTGCGTTGAAGGAGGCCCTCAGAAAGGTATGCAGGGGTTCCAATCTACATTTAAGCTAACATAAAGGGCAGGTAACAGTTTTGCTCTGGGAAACCAATGGGAATGTTCTGGAAGGGAACCATAAGTGTTTTATCAACTTGTTTAATAATAACATGTGTTGTTTTGTCTACTAAAAGTAAAGGAAACTAAAGGTTTCGAGGGAAACTGGGTGAGAGGTCATAGTTTAGCTTGTTTTGATTCCCCAGTGGCGGTTCTAGACAAAAATATACCAGGGGGCCAGGAGGGGGGCCAGGTGTTTCCATGGGGGCCCAGAAATCATGAAAAAAGAAAGAAAGAAAAGGGACTGAAATATATTAAGGTAGCTGCATGAAGTGAAATTTCTATTCAACTAGGTTTAAAATTATACGTCTTATTAGGTCAATATACATTTATAATTTAGGAATTTTACATATTTTTTACTTGAAATTAAAATTACAGTTTTCTATAAAATCTGAAGTAGAACTCAAGAAAAACTGATAAAATCAGCTGGAAAAATTTGTGTTTTTTTTGTTTTGAAAAAAACATTTAGCAGATGAAAACTGGGATTATATCTAAATATCACTGAAGCCGTCACCTTATTGTTTTTAAATAGTTAGTAAAACAGAATTTGTAAAGGATAAAAAAATGTAATAGATCCAAAGAACCTATCAGTAACCATGTCTCTTCCAGCTCATATCATCATTAGAATTTCTTTGAGTATTATGTCTTCAGTACAGGGGCCAGGACATGATCTACAGGGGCACTGGCTCCCTTTGGCCCCTATCTAGAACTGCCCATGCTGTCTGTCCTTCACTGCAGAGATCCATGGCTCCCTCAGATAAACAGTTCCTCCCTTCCTGCTTCCTCAGAGTGGTATCCATCATTGTGTCCATGTTTGATCTGAGAAATTCGCTCATAACAGTCTGAGAGCCTTTTTAATGACACACCTCACACCTTCAGATAGCTGCTGATCATCAGCTTCAGTCATAATCCCACATCTTTTTATTGATAGTGTCAAATATGATATGCAAACTATAGTATCTATCTAGACACAGAACACTTTATTAGCTATATTTTGAGCTCAAAGCACGCATAGATAACCTCATCTAGTTCATACCACAACTCTTACTTCCACAATATGTGCTACACTCTATTTTTAGAGATTTTTTCATTGTTATTATAAGCAGGCCAGGTGTGCAATCTCTGCAAAAGGAACCGGAGCACTGAGCGTTGTGTGCGCTGCGCAACGTATACCTGTCGCAAATGCAGGAAGGACTCACCTTGGGTTTGTAAAAACTGGTAAATGGGACATTGTAGCTTCATATAATACTGTTTGTCATCTTCTAAGCTGAAATGTTGAATGACGTGAAAAGGTGAGACAAGACTAAATACAATTATTCTCTACGTTGTTCTTTCTTTCACATAGTGAGCTTTGCAATATAAATGAGTCTGTTGGTGAATGGACAATATAAATTGGCTCTACCTTGCCTTGTTGGAAAAGCATGGTTATGACCTTTTCTCAGCTCAGGAACTAGGACCTGTATGATATCTGGTTGTTCAATAGGTTTGCCTAAATAAAATATTTAGATATGACTTAACAAGATATTCCTGCAAAAAGGTCTGATGTTGCAGGTGCCGGTAATGAAAAGTGTTTCAAGCATGCTCTTTTTCTGATGCCAGTTTGTTTCAGCCTTATCCAGTCTCATGCAGAAGGGCTGGTCATATAACAGGTTATTAGCATTAAAACAAGGACAGTTAGCAAGGTAGAGTGAATACACAAACTTGAAGAGGGGAGGGGGGCTTGCAGGAAAAATGAAATTCTCTGGGACTTCTAGTGTTAAAAGAAGGGTTGTAAGTTTCAGTTTGAAATGTTTTGACTTGCTTTTGAATAGGTTGAGAGACTTGACATATCTGAGGAAAGGTGTTGGTTGTTTTTTTGTGGTAATAACTTGGATTAACATTTTAATTACAATGTGAATCGTAAGTTTAATACTTTGGATGTAAAGACATTTCTTTCCTCAAAGCAAAAAGTTTTAATTTTAATGCAGTTTTTTTGTGAAACTTGGGTAAGGATTGGAGATCTGAGAGAGGAGGTTTGATTTTAAAGATGCACCTTTTTATCTCCCAATCACCCCCCTTCTACTTCCTCTGACAACCTATATATAAAGTTCTTTAGTCTGATAATAAAATGGGGCTTCTTGACCATGATATTCCAGGTATCAAAGTGAGTTTGAGATATTCTATAACCAATAATAAAGAGCAATTTGTGGGAAAAAAAAGCACAATAATATGGTGAAGGTGAGAACTAACAAGATAAATAAACATCACCCTTCTGGCCTTTATATGACCTGAGGTTAGTGATCTGTAGTAGTTCTGCTCAACTGTTGTTTATTTTTTTTGTCTTCATGTTTTTCCTGTTTGTAAGGTTTAGCTGATAATTAAAATGTTCCAAAGTAAAAAAACAAACAAAAAAAAAACTCATAAATACAGATTTAAAAATGGCAAAATGGTCGGTATACTTTTTTTTTAAGGCAGGATAATCTACCTTGGTTTTGCAGAAGTGTCAGACTATCTAACTCTAGATCAAAAGCAAATATAAAATTAATCTCCAATGCAGAAAAGCTGCTTACAAGACCTTTATGTTCCTGCCCCGGAATATAAAAAAAATAAATAAATAAATATTGCTTTTCTTTTCTCAAAATGTCAGAGCTACTTTAAGATGCATTTATAAATTCCGCCTTAAACACCTAGTTATTTTAGCAAAGAATTAGGCTGACAATTGCTAAACAGTGTGACTCATTTTTCAGATTCTTATTACCAGACATAAAATGGAAATCAGCTTTTATAATAGCAACAGGAGTCTCAAGAGACAGGAAGCAGAAATGTTGCACAATGCCAAGGGAAGCTTTTGTCTGGCTAAACATTTTTTTTTTAAGAATGCCAGGAGGTTGAAAATAATCTAGCACTGGGAATAGGAAAGGATGAACACGTGAAAAGGAAATTCAGAACAATACAGTTGCATTGCAGGAAGGGGAACTTGAGTAATAACGTTTTATTTAAAGAATTCACTATACACTATTGTATGTTTATAAATGACTTGCCGTTGTAGAAACTCCCTTGCTCAATGCGCAAGGTTACACTCGAAGAATGCCAGTAAATCTAAGATTAACTTTATGTTGTAGACTTTCATAGTCCTGCAAATGTCCAGGTACCGACCAGAGCTTGCATTCATAGCAGCATCCACTGTCATTAAACATAAATAACAAAAGTCTTCCTTTTAGAGTTTTAAGAAGCAGTTAGTCATGTGCAGCTCTGATTCAGTTCAGCTAAGGATTTCCCACAGCTGAACACAATCATTTGGAAAGGCAGCACCGAAATATCACTCTTAATAGGCTAATACTGTTTTAAAACTATAGTTGCTATGGCATTTATGAAAACTGCTCGAACTAAACACCCCTTCAGTATTGTAACCTCAAACTATCCTTATCATCCACTTATTAAAGTTTTAAATCTTTGATTTGTCTGAAACATTTCTGTATTTGAGGCTAATGCTTCTATTGGCTTCTGGAATGAGTTTGTGAGTGAACAAATCTTGCTATAATTCATCTTGCTCGCAAGGTGAAAGTCCTTGATGCCTGAATCAAAGAAGTGAATTACCTCCTTCTGCTCTCAAGTTCTGCAGAGTTTTGCTGGGGACCAAATTATGCGATTCAGCTGTGAGGATGAAGCGGCACATAAAAGACGTTTCTGGACAGCAGCCCTGTAGAAGTGGAGTTTGATATGTGTGCCCCACAGGACTCTGAAAGTTGTCTTCCTTCATTTGAGTTGCTTTTTCAAAAAGTACAAGGTGTTAATCAGTGTTTTATTGGACCTATTAGATCTACTAGCTGCCTTTACTACATTATATCATCAGATTCTCCTTTCCTACCTAGAGTTGTGGCCTAATAGATTGTTTTACGTCTTACGTAACAGTTTTTGTGTCACTATTTAGGATTGGGTACCATTACGCCAGATCAAAACAGCCCCGGGGCCACATTGGACCGCTACCTCATATTGATAAGCTTCAGCATTATTTGCTCTCATATTAGTATTATTGGGTTGCATTCAACTTTTTAGAGAGATTCTATCTCCAATAATATTGTATTGCTAATCTGCTCCTCATTAAGAAGCAAACACACCTAGTGGACCGATGGGAGGGGCTAAAGTTATGCTCCTATGTTCTCTTTGCTTACTGCAGACATCCCAAGTTCCAAAAGGTCATTTCAGGGAGATGCATAACACTCCAGCATGCAGTGCACCTCGCCACGGTTTCATCATTCCTCACCATGGCCGGTTCTATACAGGGGCCAACGGGGGCCAGAATTTCTAATGATGATCTATGCTGGAACAGCCATGGTTACTGATAGGCCCTTTGGATCTATTTCATTGTTTTTCTTTACAAATTCTATTTAACTAATTATTCAAAAACAATAAGGCGATAGCTTCAGTGGTACTGAGATAGGATCCCAGTTTTCATCCGCTAAATGTTTTTTTTCACAACATATAAAAAAAAAAATCCTCTAATTTTTACAGATTAATTTAAGTTTTTCTTGAGTTCTAATTCAAATTTTATAGAAAACAGTAGTTTTAACTTAAATTAAG